AAAGAAAGGGAGAGAGAAAGAAAGAGAAAAAGAAAACAACAACAACAACAACAACAGAAGCAGCAACAGCGACGACGACGACGACGACGACGACGACGACAATAACAACCACAATGAAGAAGTTAATAACTCGTCAGCAAACACCAAAGCAGAGCTGCAACCAACGGATCCTGCTTGGTTGGTGCATCCATGAACTGCTGAAAGACGGACGTAAGTTCGAATCCAGACGGAACTACCGTCTTCACCCGAATAGAACGCCCGGTTATTGTATAGCTGTATCTAGACTGAAAGTTGCGCCAAATACAGCCATAATGACCGGGCGTTCTATCCGGGTGAAGACAGTAGTTGAATGAGTTTCTGAATTACATCGGCCCAGTCAGCTCCAGGACGATTATCTTAAGGCTGTCCCCCTTCTATGAACACACACACACACACACACACACACACACACACACACACACACACACACACACACACACACATATACATTTATCGGGAAGAGAAAAATTACTGATACACTTATATACGGTAAAGGAAAGTTGATTAATTTGATCTTAACTGAAAAAGAGTGTTGGGCCCGCCGATAAAGTAGGAGGCCTCCATACAGGTTTACCCCTGTATGGTTACAACCCCAAGGATTTTTGGCCTTGGCTTCCTCCCAACTCCGTTGTAATGGTCCCGTGGGCTATTCGCCTCTGTTTATCTCAGGATCCTCCGGCCGGCTGATTTGGTTATGGGTCGGAATTCAAAAAAATGTTTTCGTCATTTGGGCCCGCCATTGAAATAGGAGGCCTCCATACAGACTCGCTTCTGTATGGCTACAACCCCAACGATCGTTTTTCTGGCCTTGGCTCCCCCTCATGCCCTCGGATGATTCTTCACGAACCTGTCATTCCCATTTATCCAAAGGAACTCAGAGCGGGTGTTTAGGTTATGGGTCGTTTTTCGTAATGTGAAAAGGAAAGCGGGGTAGTTCTTCGGACCCGCCCCAGAAAATAGCGGACTTCATTTTGGGATTGTTTCCTGACCATCGGTACTTGGTCTGTTCCCTGATTTACCTTGGGGAATCTGTCCTCCTTGGACAGTCCAGGTGGGTTGGTTTCGAAGCTTTTTTCTTTTTTTGACATCCGCGCACTATTTAACCATTGAGAGTCGATTCGTCAAACCCTCTTTGGATCGGCGCACTTCCCGGGGCAGTGCGACCTAATCATCATTTTCGGATGACGTGCGTGACGGTTCATGTTGTTGCCCTCTGCAATTGAAGGAGTCTTCCAGCTCTTCTGGCCTTCTTTCTGGCGCTCTTACTCTGCTCCCCCGCGCACTCTCTCTCTCTCTCTCTCTCTCTCTCTCTCTCTCTCTCTCTCTCTCTCTCTCTCTCTCTCTCCCTACCTCTCTCTCTTCCTCCCCTCTTCCTCCCTCTTTGCCCTGTGGCGACTCGCCATCTCTAAGCAAGCTCTCGAGTTGTATCTCATCGTGTCGTTGGAACAATGAGTGGAGTTTCTTCATCTTCGGCTCCCCGAGCGACGGTAATGCGTTTCACCCTCTGGGTCCATAGTTCCTTCCTCTCCCTTTCCCCACCCCCACCCCCCCTGCCCCCCTCCCCTTCTCCCTTATCTAAAACTCAACAGTGAGCTTTGTCCCCTCCGGAGCACTAAACTTAGGGATGCTTTGAACCCCTGAAGAGCCAATCGTTTGGCAGGGATTGGCGAAAAGGCCTTAGGGAACTCCTGCCTAATCTCTTTTGTTGTGCCGGCATATTCAAGGGCCGCTTGGCCGGATCGGGACGCGCGACTTTTTTTTTCTCTCTCTCTCTCACCCTCCTCTTCTTCCCTCTTTCCGTTTTTAGAAGAAAAAAGAAAATTATGAATGGGTTGCTTGATACTACTTAACCCTCCTGTTGCTATGATGAACTGTTGCTGCTATGTGCTGTTTGCTCCCTGTTTTTGTAGGAGTTGCTTGCTGCTTCAGTAATCACGCCGCATTGATATGGAGGCCGCGATTTTTGTCTTGGGGATCGTTGTCATCTGTTCCGTCTTGTTTGCCTACCTGGCTTTCATCGCATACCTCGAGAGTGAGTGTGTCAAGACTCTTCACATGCTGCTGGTGGAGCACTCAAATCGATCGATAGGAGCGGCTGCTAGATCGAGGTGTCCTATTGAGTGAGCATGGCTTTGATTCGCCGGTCTCATCTGCTAGTTGCACTGATCCCCATGAGTGCTATGCTCCTGGCTTCGATTGTAGTAATTATGCTTGCATCGGTATTGGTCGATGACGACGAGGGAGTGTGTACGACCGATGTTTCTCGACGGGTTTACAGTGGCGATCCCAAATTCCTCCTTACTCTGGCGTTTTTGCATTTCTCGTTCTTGTCCGTGATTGTAATCTTGTTCTTCACGAGGGACATGCGTCAGTCTTGCCACTTTTGCCATGAATATTTTTCGCAGCTTGATCGCGATCCTTAGAACTCTCCTTTATTTCCGTTCCCTCCTCCTGCTCCTTGGTCTGACATGATTCGCTCCCTAGATATGTTATCGGATCATCGCATAGCTTAGTCGGACCTTGTTGTAGGATTGTTGAGCTTGATGTGCTCCTCCCTTATAAGGGATCGACGACAGATGCTAAGTTGCTGCATAAGTGGGCCGGAATGAGATGATCTAGCG